CATCAATTAAGATGTCATTTGAGTTAAAATTACTGTTTCAAAGTTGATTGATGATTTTATGGATGAAATACGTGAAATGGACCAACGCTGTAATTATATATAAAGGTTTGGGACTTCGACCGCAAAAATTAAAGATTTGGGTGTAATCTGCAACAAAATGAAAGGTTTGGGACCGCAGCCACAATTTTCCCTTAAATAAATCAAATGTCAAAATCTAATTATCTACTCATCTTCTCTGTGCTCCCAAGAGTTAATTTAGCCCCTTGTTTGAGCTCCATTATTCTCAAAATTCATTTTTTCAACACATTTTATATGTAAATTTAAAATTTGTTCTTATTTTTCAACCACGTACTTTTTAAATTTTTATTATTCCAAAATGAATTTTCTTAGTAAAGTAGAGCCCAAACAGGCACTTAATTAATGGTTACTAAATTTTACTACATGTTACTATTCGCTCACTTGAATTTAAAAAAAAAATATTGTTTACTCGTTAAACTTTGATATAGATTACTCATTGCTCTCTGAAATTTAAAAGATTATTCGTTGTTCACCTAAATTTAAACAAAGTTACTCAGAACTTTGTTATAGGTAACACCGATGGAAACAATATTGGTGATTGATTGGTACCTTCGTTCAAGTTTGGGTGAGTAGTGGGCAACTTTTAAAATTTTAGTGACCAAGTAGTCATCTATAGTACATTGCAGTGAGTAACGAGTAATTTTTTTAATTTTGGTGAGCAAATAGTAACTTATAGCAAAATTCAGTGACCATTGATTAAATTAACTCGTAGCCCCAAAAAGGTTAAAACAATCAAAATCTAATCTCCTGTCCTTTGTCGCCGCAACCTCCTTTACCGATCCTATCTCATTTATTGAATATCCATTCTTGATGTACTAGAGGTTTGACCATTCGAATGAAGACGGGTAAGGTTTTTTATTTGATTTAGTCAAGTATAGAAATAATTGTTAAATTAATTCCTTGTATTTCATTAATATTTACGTTCAAATTTTTTTTAAATTTAAATTCAATTTGGGCCAAAGACGAAATCTACTGATCAAATCGAACCGATCCAAACCGATTCGGTTTGGGTTGGGGTTGGTTTGATTTAAGAGCTTGATTGGATCGGTTTGAATTAAATTCACCCAAACTTGAATTGGTTTCGAGTTGGAGTCGAAGCTGACCAAATTTGAACTGTGCCCCTGCCTAAGGCTGATAGAACGATTATTAAATCAAAGAGGTTAGAATACTACAAGAGGAAGGCCCGATCAACAAGAATTTGAAATGTAAAAATTGATTATGAAAATAAGAAGGTGCTTTTCAATCTGTTTAGATAATTTTTGAAATTACTTATTCGGAATAAAAGAATTTTTAACAAATTGTTTTACTAAAAGTAATAGTAGAAGTGGAAATCTCGTCCAATAGGCCTCCATATCATATTTGTCAGAATTTTTTTGACAAGAAAATGAATGATATTTTTTAGAGAATGCGAGGTTTAAAAAAATAATTTTTTATTTATGTATAAAATTATTTTATTAGAAAATGCGTCGTTGAAAAAGAATGAATTTTTTTCGATTTACGTATAAAATTATTTTATTAGAGAATGTGGGGTTGAAATTGAGTTTTGAAAAAAATCGAGCCAACTAAACATTTCAATTTAAACTCCGACCAAATATATATTCTTGTCTTCTTTGACGGCACAAGGGTTCCTTTTTGAACAGTTTGTTTATTAAAGATTAGAGCTTGGACATAAATAATTGAAAATTTGAAAGGTTGGACATAAATTTTTTGTTTCTATGTAGTGGGAATTAAAATCAGATTTTTAGTAAATTTTAAGAGTTTGTTTGGGAGAGATTTTTGGAGGAAGAATTGATTTTGAATAGTAATATGATGGGAAACGTGTGGTTGAAAAGGAAGAAAAAATTATTGATGTGATGAAAAATATTATTTTATTGAAGAATGTGTGGTTGAAAATGAAAATTGATTTACTGTAGAAAAATTTAATCCCTCCCAAATAGGCNAAGTTTCTCTAATAAGACAAAGCACATATTAAGATTGTGTTTGATACACGTTAAAATGGAAAGAATGCATTTTTTTGTAATGTGATGGTGAATAAGTAGTTGAAAAGGAAGAAAAAATTATTGATATGATGGAAAATATTATTTTATTGAAGAATGTGTGGTTGAAAATGAGAATTGATTTACTGTAGAAAAATTTAATCCCTCCCAAATAGGCCCTAATAAAAAAATAATAAAATATGTGATTGAAAAGTTGTACGATTCATAAAATATGTGGTTAAAATTAATTGTAGACTTTTATTTAGATTAAAATCTAAATTTGTACCAAACACGGTTAGATGAAAGTTGATAATTAGAAATGTTACTACAATCTCTAACGTTTTTAAGTTTGACAAACACGCTTAAGGATTTTCGCAATTTAACAACGTTTTCGAAGTCGGATCATCCCGTACTGCCACACACGCTTCACCCGAACAGCACTGTTCCGTCAGCACCACAACTTCCGACGCTCAATCAATTAGAAACCGCGAAAATCAAATCCATCAAGTTTAAGCTATCAATTGATTAATAATTCTTCAATAAATTATTTGATTAGGAATTATCGAAAATATTAGAGAAAAGAATGCCTCCGAAGCAGCAATCGAAAGTAGATTTGGCGAAGAAGCAGAAAGTAGTCGAGGACAAGACTTTTGGATTGAAGAACAAGAACAAGTCCAAGAATGTTCAGAAATACGTTCAATCACTCAAACAATCCGTCCAGCCCAGGCCTGACCCTAGCAAAATCGACGCCAAGGTCGAATTACATTCATTGATTATGTATATATGGATAATATCTGACTGTTCATCGTTTGATTTCTTCTTCTTCTTTTCTTTGTTTGCCCCCATGTGGGAAATTAACAGAAAAAGAAAGAGGAGGAGAAGGCAAAAGAGAAGGAGCTCAATGAATTGTTTAAAGTTGCAGTGAGTCAACCCAAAGTTCCTCCTGGTAATTTCTATAATTAGTTTTTGCTCTAAAATCTCTTCCTGTTCAATTAAAAAGTGGTCAGTATTATATAAGCTCAGTTGTGCTCAGATAATCATGTATATGTATATATGTGATTATGTGAATGCCTGGTTATGTTATTCTGCCCTTCTTTTTTAATTATTATTTCCCCTAGGTTCGATTTGGAAATATTGGATTCTGGAAATTTAGGATTGACAATTTGTGCGTGTACGTTGTATTGTTATTTTGTCTATCTGAAATGTTGGTGACTAAATTTTTGAGAATCAACATTTAGGTGTTGATCCGAAGTCAATATTGTGCGAGTTCTACAAAGCTGGTCAATGTGCCAAGGGTTTTAAGTGCAAGTTCTCCCACGATTTGAATGTTCAAAGGAAAGGAGAGAAGATCGATATTTATAGTGATAAGCGCGATGAAGGTTAATAGTGGAAGTTCAAATTCTATCATCAAAGTCTCCAACATGGTTACAATTTTTTTATTAATTTTGATTTGTGTTTGTGAATCTTGTCTCTTGGTTTCATAAAGAGAAAGAAAAGGAAACGATGGAGGACTGGGATCAAGAGATGTTGGAGAAGGTTGTTCAGTCCAAGAGCCAGGAGTACAACAAGAATAAGCCTACAGATATAGTGAGTCTTCACTAATGATTGCATTATCTTTTTCAATCATCTCTGGATTGTGATGGAAATGTGTAACCTCATTTTTATCCGTAGTCAATCATTTGCTGTCTTTAACTAACATCGATACCTCTGTCTTCTTTTTTCTTTATGATTTTAACCAATCTGAATGAATTCCAAAGATACTATTAACTGGCTGGTAGAGTGGTAGTGGTAAATTTAGAAATTTCTTTTGCACAAGATAGAGATGTGTTGGAAGGGTACTTCTAATTTCAAGAGATGGGCAAGTTCCATTTTTAAATTCTGTTTGCTTATATCTTGAGGCCAAATACGTTCAATCTTGTTTCCATGTCAAATGTGTGATTATGATGGGGGCATAATAATATTGTTTCCCATGATGGGGTCGTCAGTTTGGCTCACCATATCGGTAAACGTCCATGGAATAATCACTATTAAGATGATGAAGAATGGATGGGAATTATGATGTAACAATTCAGAATGTGGTTGACAGATGCTATGTATAGGAATAAGAGTTTGGGGCTGTAAGAGCTGGCCCCAAGTTCTTAATGAATGTCATTTGACTTTGAAGCATGTTAATACACAATGTAGCAAACCGGTGTAAAATTTAAGGAGTTCGTATTATACATGTATTTAACAAAGAGAAAGCATGGATTTGATAGGAATTAAAACATGACAAGTGATCGAATTGGCTTACCACTGACTCGAGCAGAGCTTGATACAATGATGGAGCACCCCCTGTATTAGCTATAGCAATGATATATATTATATGGAGGAGCTATATTCTGCCTTTTGCAACAAAATGGAAGGTCGTGAAGAAGGGATAATGAGTCTAACTTTGCTTGTGATATGGAAAGATACTACATGAAAGGATTGAATCCTTGTATACTTATTCCAGGTGGCATCAATTGTATAGGTTTTCACATGCTCTAATTTTCTTTTTTAAATTTTCCTTTTGTCTGTACTTCTGTCTGTATATCATGTTTTAGTACTTCAACCAATCTATTTCTTTTTGTTTCTAATAATATTTTTTGCAGGTATGTAAATACTTTTTGGAAGCAGTGGAGAAGAAACAGTACGGTTGGTTTTGGGTCTGCCCAAATGGTGGTAAAGACTGCCATTACAGGCACGCACTCCCTCCTGGATATGTTCTGAAATCTCAGATGAAGGCTCTGATCGAGGAGGAAGCTGACAAGATACCTATAGAGGAAGAGATAGAAAACCAGGTTAGTTTAGCACATTCTCCTATTACTTTTCTATTAAAATTATGTGAATTCATTCAAATTATATTTGTTTGCTAATAGGTTTATTATTATTTATTCTATTTTCAGCGTGCAAAGATAACTTCAACAACTCCTATGACTCCAGAGCTATTCATGCAATGGAAGAAGAAAAAGGTGGAAGAGATGGAAGCCGGGTTGGCTGCACAGAGGGCGGAGAGAGCTAAGAATGACCGTATGAGGTACTGTTCAAATCTTCTTGAGTGAACACCTGTATTGGATATATTTGCTTGTATGTTTGTACCTGCATTATGTATTCACTGTATTTTGCTTCCTGTCCTTTACAGTGGGCGTGAGTTATTTTTGTCAGATGCTAGCTTGTTTATTGATGATGCTGAGGCCTATGACAAATACCAAAGAGAAGAAGAACCAGATGCAGAGCAAAAGGTAACCATTTTGCTATTTGCCTTGATATATTCCATCAAATATTACTTGGAGACTTAATGAACTTCTTTGGTCCTTAAGTAATGAAAATGTTGAAATTCGAGTAGCTCATTACTAGTTTGAACACAGTTTGAAAAGGCCAGCCTGCTTGAAGATAACATTATACAAGACTATACCAGTACACCCTAAACCTTGGAGATGCCTCTGCCCACACGGGAGGGTCTATGCGGGAACTGCAGGTTCATGTACTGGATGGCATGGCAATTGACAATGAAAATAATGTTGATAGTAATTCCTAAAGTTCATCGGTGTCGATCTTTGAAGAATATTGTTTAATTGTTGATTTCATTCTAAGCATTTTATTTTTGAAGGGTCCAACATTTTTCCGTGTCTATTTGGACGCATTGAACGAATCCCAAATCTAGCACCGGACAATGCAACCCAGTAATTCTCTTTCATTGTGGAGAGAGCTCTTTGCAGGTTTTCCAACTTCACGTATGCTTTTCTGCCCAATGGAAAAGACTGCATCAGCCAAGATAGAGTCCATGCAGTATGCATCATCATTTTGCTGAAATTTACACCATGATTTAGCGCTTCAGTCCACGATGCTTCACCCATAAAATTAGGTGTTTCTATTATCAAACTTCTGTTCTTCATTCCATGACAAATAACATGAAGAATTTTTTGTTTCCTTAGTCTCGCATGTGTCTCCAAGAGAATTCAATCTAAGAGTTCAGAACAAATTTCTTCTCAATTTCATGATGCTCTTAGTTGTATTCTCTTGAAAACAGCTACGAGACTAAGAAAACAAACTTCAATCCTTCTGCTGATCATGGAATAGTTACTAATGTTTGGTAATAGAAAATCTAATTCTATGGTTGACTGAAGCACCAAAGCAGCATGTAAATTTCAGTGAAACGCCGATGCATACTGCCTTGGATTATGTCGTGGATGATTCCTTTGTTTTCCATGAGGCAGAAAAGCACGCACGGATTTAGAAAACCTGCAGAGAGTTCTCTCTTTGATGAAAGATCATTACGGGCTTGCTGTTCAATGCTTCCAAATAGACTTGGAACTATGTTGGCATTTCATTCCCTAAATCTTACCAGTGGTGAAACATGTGTTGAGAATCATCATTCATAGGGTGCCCAATAAACTCATATCTGTTATTTCTTCCTTGGAAGGCTATTAAACTGACATTTTAGATCTTTTGGTTTTATGTAGAATCTTTTTGTTCCACCCGAAATTTGAGTGTCTGAAGAGTTGGTAAAATCCATCTCAAATATGAAGTCAAAACTTTCCTTCACTGGCAAAGTTGAAGAAAACATATTTTGGCCAATTACATTTAATTTATGGTGTCGGTTTACTCCTTTTTTTTCCTTTTCTTTTATGTAGGCGACATTCTGTATTATGACTGAATCCGCATAAAATAAAATAGATTTATCCCATGGCAGTGTGTTCCCATCCTTTTGTGACCATTTAAGCAATTTATACGTTTTTCAGGTTCGAATCGTTTTGGCTCATTTTTATGGCTCATGGTTGAGCAAAGTTGATGCTTAAATTTCTTATAGTCTTAACTCTTACTAGCCCTGCTATTCAGTTGTTACTTTGAGCCATTTCAGTAGTATTTGCTGACTGCTGTATCATCAATTTCAGGTTGATAAAGGTTCCTCCACCGACGGGCCAAGTTCTTCCACAGCAAATACACGTGATATCGAAGATTTTGCTGACGAAGATGACGATGATCTTGATATGGATGAGCTAAATGAACTGGAAGCTAGCCTGTCAAAAACAACATTACAAATCAAAGAACCAGGTGATGTGTGATCTGAGTGAAGGCAGATTATACTCTTTAATCTCATTTCTTACTCTTGACACATGCTGTTTATGGGTGTTCTCAACTGTGTTCCCCTGCTAAAGTTACTCTCGGACGGGAATAGTAGTGGCTCCTAGTGTAACTGACGGCATCCTTAGTAAAATTTTCAGACGAGTCGTTGATCATTCCAATCTTTTTTGGTCGGTGCGACTTAGTTCTAGATTTAAGCCAATTTTCACTAGTTGGAAATAATTGTTTAGCGGAGTCTTGTGTGCCTATTTGTCTCGATTAAAAATAATAGTGTAATAATGAATATGCGTTTACTGCTTACTATATCTGCATTTTGCTGCATTACGTGCAATTAAATCGAAGTATTCACCACACTTATTATGACACTAGGTTCTTTACCGTAGAATTAACAACTTTTTTTTTTTTCCATAAAATCAATTGGTTGCTGGTCAAAGTTGAAATTAGTGAATTATTTATTTTGGAAATTAACTTTTACTTAATTATGAGAACGGGTAATTTTTTATTTAAAAAAGTAATTTGTCTCTACTAAAAATATTTAAAAGTAGAAGGTTGTATATAGAATAGGTGTATGTCTTTCTTTGAGCCATATCAAAATTTTCATTTTCATTTTCATTTTCAATCACACATTTTTCAATAAAATAATATTTTTCATCACATCAATAACGTTTTTTTTTATAACCACACATTCTCCATCAATCTACCATTTCAAAATACATTCTTCCAAAATAACGTGGCTCAAACACACTAAGATAATCATCAATTTAGGTGATCACGAGCAACTTGAAAATTGTGTTGTATTTTAATGAATTCAACAATTAATAAAGGAGCTCAATGCTATGTTACATATGATCACCAGTATAAATTATGAATTGAAAACTACTCAATATTTCCTAGAATTCTACCATGGAGAAATCATAACGGGATCTTCAAACTTTTGTCAAGTACATGACTTTAGCCTCTATTCAATTTATTTTGGGTATGTGAATCTTCGAACTTCAATTACGGTAGGTAGGTAGGCATGGATTCTTAGGAACGATTAACTTTTTCGGAACAGTGCTAATTAATACTCGTCCATAAGTCATTGAATCATTGTCACATAAGTTGTTGCTAAGCAATGCTGCTAGTACTTAAAGTTATTTATTTTATTATAATTAGCAAGTGTGTTTTTTTTTTAATAATATTTATCTTTCCAAGTTCATTTCTATCTGCAACTTGTCAAAATGTAGAGAGAGGAAATGGGAGAGAAAAGAAGATGGCGGGAAAATCCGTTTCATTCAATTGAATTAGCTGAAGTATACGAGTTGGCTATATATATACATTGACGCCTCTAACAGAATTAAGATGGAATGTACAAAGACTAAATTAACTCTATGATACACAATGTAATTCAACACGCCCCTCAAGATGGAAAATGAATATTCAAAATTCCCATCTTGAGCAACAAAGACTTGAACTTGGCTCCTCCTAATGGTTTCGTTAATAAATCTGCCAACTGCTCCTGTGAGGCAATATGTAGTGTCTTCACTTCACTTGCTTTGACTTATCACGCACCAAATGCCAATCAATTTCTATATGTTTTGTGCGTTTATGAAATAAGGAATTACTAGCTATATGTATAGCTGACTGAATATCACAAAACATCAGAGCTGCCTTAGTGTGTTGTACTCCCAAATCTTTAAGTATGTTCCTCAACCAACTGAACTCACAAACAGCTGCTGCCATGGACCGATACTCTGCCTCAGTTGAGGACCTCGAAATTGTGTGTTGTTTCTTAGATTTCCATGACACTACTGAGTTCCTCAAGAAGATGCAATAATCAGTAACAGACCTCTTGGTGTCGGAGCATGCCGTCCAATTAGCGTCACAGTAGCCCTTAAGATGTAAGTCAGATTTCTGAGCAAAGAACATCCTTTACCTAGGTGTTCCCTTTAGGAATCGCAATACATGATATGCTGCCTCCAGATGAGGCTACCTTGGTGTTTGAAGGAATTAACTGAGGACCTGGACAGCATATGACAAGTCAGGCCTCGTGATAGTCAAGTATAGAACTCCATATTAAATCTCCTACATATGCTTGCATCCACAACAGCTTCACCATCATCTTTACTCAACTTAAGATTCTGTGGTAATGGACTGCTAGCTAGTTTTGCACCAAGATAACCTGAGCCCGTTAATATTTCCAGTGCATATTTCCTTTGGTAAATAGATATGCCATCAGAATTTCTTGCCACCTCAAGGCCTAAGAAGTATTTTAGGACACCTAGATCTTTTAGTTTGAATTATTCATTCAAACTTTGTTTGAATTTTTCAATGTAAGTAAGGTCATTGCCTCCAATGATAATGCATCAACATAAATGAAAAGTGTGGTGAATGAGCAGCCTTCTTGTTTACTAAATAAAGAGTAATCAGAGTTTGATTGCCGGAAGCCTTGAGAAGTGATGTAAGAAGACAACTTGGCGTTCCAATGCCTTGACGCCTTGACCCCTGTTTAAGGCCATAAATGGATTTGTTTAACTTGCAAACCAATTTCTTACCATTCACCCCCTGCTCTCATAGCCCCGTGGCATCACCATGTACACTTCCTCCTCCAAGTCGCCGTGTAAGAAGGCATTATTAATGTCAAATTGATAGAGGTACCATTTTCTTTGTGCAGCAACAGCAAGCAAGGTTTTCACTGTAACTAGCTTGGCAACTGGTGAAAACGTCTCCTCATAGTCTAAGCCAGCCTGTTGGGTGAACCCATTGGCCACAAGCCTAGCATTCTTTCTCTTTTCAGTACCATCAGAATTTAACTTGACCTTGAAAACCCACTTGCACGCAACATGAGTTTTATGAGCAGGCATAGAGACAACATACCAAATATTATTGGATATTAGAGCATGATACTCTGCATCCATGGCCTTGCACCAATCTGGATCCTTAGTAGCATCAACAAAAGACTGAGGTTCATTGATTGTCGACAAGGCTACAGCATAATGTCTGTGAGAAAGAGACAACATACTATAGTCCAAGTAATCTGCAACAGAATACTGAGGCCTAGAGACAGGATAATCCACAGTGGGATTTGATTGGGGAGGAGATATCTGAGATGCCAGGCTACAATGATAGTCATGGAGATAAGATGGAGTCTTTTTGGATCTGTTGGATCTTCGAGTGATGAGGGAGGTAGAAGAGAAGATATGGCAGTAGAAGATGTGTCAGGAGAAGGAGTGTGAGATGATGAAGTATTATCTGAAGAGAATTGAGATGCAGGTCGAGAAGAATCAAGAGAGTGAGGAACAAGAGAAGTGACAGGAGAAACTTCTTGACCAGAGATATGTAGAGAAGAAGGTGGATCAAATATATCATGAAATGAATGAGGCAAGGTAGAAAAGAGATTCTGATCCTTATGATAGGACATAGAGGAGGTGGACAAAGAATTAAGAAAGGTAGGATGTTAATAAGGAAAAATGGTCTCGTGGAAAGACATATCTCGTGAGGTAAATGTCACATGTGTTTGAAGGTTATAAAGCTTGTAAGCCTTCATGCCATATGGGTAACCAAGGAAAACACGAGGAGTAGCTGTAGGATCGAATTTAGTACGATTTATCTTAAGGG